CAGCCATCGATAACTTTTTATTAATGACTACATGTAGCTGTGTGGCACACGGCCCTTTCTCTGATCCCTTAAACTATAGTTAGATTTGAACCAGAAGAAAATTTTTTAAAGTTCTGGGCCATTTTTTTTGTTTTTTGAGAAAGATTAGCCCTGAGCTAACATCTGCCACCACTCCTCCTCTTGTTTGCTGAGGAAGACTGGCCCTGAGCTAACATCCGTGCCCATCTTCCTCTACTTTATATGTGGGACGCCTGCCACAGCATGGCTTGACAAGCGGTGCCATGTCCGCACCCAGGATCCAAACCAGAGAACCCCAGGCCGCTGAGAAGCGGAACATGCGAACTTAACCGCTGTGCCACTGGGCAGGCCCCAAGTTCTGTGACATTTTTGATAACTCTTGTATGAAATTGTCTCAAGACCATTTCAAGTCGTTCTATTTAAGAACCTTGATCATTCCAGAAGTGATAAACCGAGGTTTACTTTAGGATCAGTGGTTCTAGGAAGCCGGGCTGTTGCACACACAGGCAGCAGCTGCTGCGCCAGTTTTCCACCTGGAGGACCAGGCGGTGGATGAGGAGAGATGGGCTCCCCTTTGTCTGTTGTTGAGACGACCTCAGAGTGTTACCAGCTCAGGAGCTGAGGGACTTGTGTTTCTCACAAACAGGAGAGAGAGAGTGGAGGGGAGGAAAGGAAGAATAAATCAGCAAGTATTTTCTGACCGCATTAAAGTTAAAAATATTTTCTCTTCAAACTCCTGACTTGTAGTCAACTAAGCGTTTGCACCTTTTCTTTAAGGGTTTAAATTTTTCTCAGAAACTTGGAAATCTTGTGAATGCTTTGCTGTTTACCTGGATGGCTGCGGGCTCGTGAACTCCCCTCCTCGGGAATCGTCCGTGATGGTGTGTGCACACGACCTCATGCGGGGTCCTCGGGCCGTTCTCCCTGTTGCCTGGGTTCTCACGAGCTTCACACTGAGAGCGGCCTTCGGATCACAGGCCGCCCAGGCTGGGGGAGCAGCACGCGGAGCCACGTGGGGCCTTGCTTCCGGGATCGGGTCCCTGGGCGTTCAGCTCTAATCAAGACAGAAAATGCCTCGGCTGAGCCGTACAAGACTCTTCCATGGTCTGAGAAAAGTTTTAATGAATCAGACTTTCCTCAAAGCAAACGTTCCTGCACGCAGGACATGCTGGGGGCACGCGTTGCCTACAGACCCTGAATCCCGCTTCATTTTCATCTGATTACACCTCACATCACAGAGTCAGCACCCCATTTAGGGTGGGAGCCGGTGCCCTCCATCCTGGCGGCTCCCTGGGCCCCCGTCGCAGGGCTGCACTGCTGTGCTTGGTCCTGCCCAGGGGCGTGTCCCCGGCTGCCTCCCGGTGGCTTCTGGCCATCTCAGATCAAGGCATCCTTCTGATGAAAGACAGAGCTCTGAGAAATCTCACCCACATCATGTTATCTTCAGCTGGAAGGAGGGGATCCGGCTCCCGGCAGTGCGTTTCCCACTGTCGTGTGGGATCGCAGGCACACGCGTCACCTGTGGACAGAACAGAACTCTGTTCCATTTTAGCTTTAGGGTCAGAAAAGCTTCATTAAGCTCCTTAAGTGACTGGTTACGTGCTGTTTTCCTGAGTAACGATATGTGTAATTTTAATCTGTAATTATCTCTTTCACTAGATAGTCAGTGACCTTCCACAGTTATCGTTCTGTTTTGCAAAAGTTAATGCATCTAAAACCAGAGGTTTGATCTCCCAGCTCCGTACAGACTGAGGTGAAACAAGTGCACAGTGAGAAAATCTTCTCTCTACACTGTCTCATTAAAGACCGAAGCTTATTCTCTGACACACCGCGAACGCGTTTAATGATGGCTCTGCGTCCTCTTCTAATGAGGACTGTGTTTGTCAGTCAGGCCACTCTCTGGCATCTTCAGCTAGTGGTCAGGAGCCAGAAAGCGCCTGATTTTAGACCTCAGTTCATAACTGTGGCTAAAATGGGGAAATACATATTTGGAAAGAATATGATATTTGTGATCTATGTAGACATTTAAGCTGGTGCAAGCTGATTTTCCTTTATGCTTGAAGAAGCGGAGTGGCTAGAAACTGTTGCATGTCTGTGTCTGGAATTCCTTTCTGCTCAGTTGTATTTACAGAGATTCCACGGAGCTTAACTAGGCGCTTTGAGTTCACGTGTTTATGAACAAGGACAGATTGATCCCCTCCGTGGCCCCACAGCTGGGCCTGTAGGACACAGAAACACAGCAGAAACCGTGTGCCGTGGGCTGAGACCTGCACGGGTCACCAGGCCCAAACTGGGGAGGGTCCCATGTGGGGAAGGTCATGGGCTGCGGGGACCGGCAGGGCCTCTAAGGGGCACGAGGACACATAGAGCAGCTTGGAGCGCTGTGAGCGGTGGAGTTGGGTGGAACCCGTCACGTGGGCTTGAGGGCCCTGCTCAGGTGTTCAGGTTTTGAGATAGGTGGGTGCTACTGGTAGGTGGTGTATCATGTGCTGTGCAGTGTAAGAAGTCAGTCTGACCTCAGTATGGAGAATAGGGCCCCAGGTGAAGACTCAAGTGCGTGGCTCAGTTAGGAGGTTGGTCCCACAGCTGGAGAGAGGGTGGTCTCCTGGCCTGGAGAGGGGATGGTCCCACAGCTGGAGAGAGGGTGGTCTCCTGGCCTGGAGAGAGGGTGGTCCTATAGCTGGAGAGAGGGTGGTCTCCTGGCCTGGAGAGGGTGGTCCTACAGCTGGAGAGAGGGTGGTCTCCTGGCCTGGAGAGGGTGGTCCTACAGCTGGAGAGAGGGTGGTCTCCTGGCCTGGAGAGGGTGGTCCCACTTTCTGGTTAGGGGGGTTGGGGCAGGAGCAGGGAGGCAGCGGGTTCTGGGCACCCTGGAGAGGCCATCTACACTAAGGACGAGGACTGGGGCTTCAGACAGGTCGTGAAGGGCTGGGAGTCAGACGATTCTAGGCAAGGACATGTCAAGGACAGACACCTGGACACATATTGTTTAACTAGGTCACATCATGTGTAAACTTGGAATAATTACATGTACGGTTATATATGCTCATATTTATTTAATAGATTTGTATAATTTTGCAAATGAAAGCCTTGCTGTCTAAGCTTTTAGAGACTTCATACTGACTGTGGGAGTCCTCACTGCCTGAGTTCACTGTTCACCTCGATACCGTTTTCCATAGGAACTCAGAGAATAAAAGTATCATTCGACTAAAATTCTCTGCGTGGCAAGTTCGTGCGGGTCACTAAGGGAGGGTCAGAAATGGTTAAACGGCTCTGAGAGTCCTTTACTAATGGGATGAAGTACAGGGCCTTGCGCCGAGATACCACGGCCCGTGGTCCCGCTGGTCCTGCCTCACCCAGCACCTCTCCCAGGCCTCTCCCCGTCCCGCCCCCGCCATGCCCAGCTGTGGACCCTTGTCTTTGTGGCGTCCCCTCTTGCCTGTTCTTCTTCCTCTAGGCGGGACTCTGATGTCTGTCCCTGTGGTTGGTTTCTCTCATCTCCCCTCCCCACCCTACACAATTAGGCGTCCTGCATCTGAGGTTCACAGAAGACGGTTCACACCTCTCATGTTGGGTTATAGACACCTGGATGCAGATTTTACCATCCGTAATTTCACAGAATATTTGTATCATCAGTGATCAATAATACTTATGCTGTATTATGCGGAACTTCACCTGCTGGGCTTTGAGCCCCTGACACAGAGAGACACAGAGACAGACACAGAGAAACATAGAGACAGAGAGAGACAGACAGACAGAAGAGGGAGAGAGAGAGGGAGGGAGAGATTCTGAGAGGACTGAGGGAGCCAGAGGGAGCATGGATCATACCAGGTGGGTCGTGGAAGGTTTTCTGGGCAAAGGCTGAATTGTCAATGAGAGCTCTGTTAGTTACTAAAATCAGCACCGTTACATTCAGTAATAGAAAGGCTATATTTCGTTTTCAACAAAATTTAATACTTGTCGATAACTAGAAATAATATTAACAATTGACATTAAATATATCCATGGAATTTAAAGAGACTTCCAGTGTTAAAAGAATAGCTTATTGCTTGGTTTCCAGTGTGTAATCAAAGACATAAATTTAAAAAAATCTGTATGAAAACACAAAAATCTATAAAAATGCTTTACATTTGTGCAAATGTGTTCAGTCTTCCTGAAGGGGGTTCTCCCTCGGCCCCTGTGAGAGCAGAAAGGTTAAGTGGAAATGACACTGTAGAGATTTTATTCAAACTTTACAAAGTTTTTCTTCCCTTTTCCTTTAATATTCTCGGCATAGTCTCTTTAATTAAAGCAGTTTGTGTAAATTTGTTCCCAAGAAAGAGAGGAAAAGGCTGAGTGGCTTCTGGGATCCGTGTTTTATTGTCTGTGTAGACTTAATGAAAAATGGGAGTCAGACTTTCCACGCAGGTAATGAAATCCTTCACTGGGGGAGTGACATTTGCATTCCACACAAACGAGCCCTCAGTTTGGAAAATCACTCTCTTAATGTGCTTAAAATTAGGCATCTGTTTGCTTTTGGGGGCTGCCTGGGGCTGTGCTGCTGGCTTTTTCCCTCATCATGCACGTCTACGCACAGTCACACACGCATTGAAAAACACGTCCTCACATTCCCACATTCACACTCACTCACCACATGCGTGCACATGCACATTCATACCCACAGGCACCTTGACACACACATGCTTGCATTCTCACGTTCACACACATGCACACTGACACACGTGCTCACGTTCTCACTCACACACGTGCACACACATGCATACCCACATTAACACACACATGCACATTGACACATCTGCTCACATTCTTACATGCGTACTCATTCATGCACAGGCACGCGTGCACACACACACACACACACACACACACACACACACACAAGCCATTCCAGTTGCTGTGAACGTTAAGCTTAAGCAGCCACCGTAACAAAGATTACGAGGTCCTGAACTTCTGTTAACACTGTTGCCACTTTTGCGACCCTGCAGCTGACCAAACAGGGATGCTGTTTATAGGAGACGCCGTCCTACAGGTCAGTATTTTAAATGTCAATCCTTAGCTTTGTTGCATTTGAATTGTAAAGATATAGTAATCCATTATTACCCTCAAAATTCTTAATTTGTCATCCTTTCAGGTTAATGGCATTAATGTAGAAAACGCAACCCATGAAGAAGTGGTAAGTGTATTACATTTTATGTTTTTTGTTCTGTTTATTGGATATTCTTTTATTATAGTTATTTTTCTCTAAATTTATATTTTACTGAGTGTATTCGTAGACACAGAGTTTTAGAATTGGAAAAAAATAGCTGGAAAGGTTTAGTAAGTCAAGTTCCAAAAGGATTGCTATGAAATGCCTGCTGTGTCAAGTGCCAAGAGACACGTCTCACAACCATATGCAAGGGGTCTTCACAGACACTATAAAAGGTACATTTTGGGCTGGCATGGTGGTGCAGTGGTTAAGTGTGCATGTTTGCTTTGGCGGCCCGGGGTTCGCCGGTTCAGATCCCTGGTGCGGACATGGCACTGCTTGGCAAGCCATGCTGTGGTAGGCATCCCACATATAAGGTAGAGGAGGATGGTCACGGATGTTAGCTTAGGGCCAGTCTTCCTCAGCAAAAAGAGGAGGATTGGCAGCAGATGTTAGCTCAGGGCTAATCTTCCTAAAAAAAAAAACCACAAAGACAAAAGGTAAGTTTCATTGCTCCAGCTTTAAAGAGGGGAGGATTGAAATTCAAGGGGTAGAGGAGTCCAGCTGGGGGCCTCAGGGTCGCTGGCCATGCTGAGCGGCGTCTGTCGGGATTTCCACATGCTGGCTCCCTCTGGCACACTTGTAGGTAACACACTTGCCTGGGAGGATGTCTCATGATGCACACCTCTGGCCTCTGCCCGGGTGATGGCGTGTGGCATGTGGGTCAGCGGGCATCTGCCCAGTGTTGCTTCCGTGGACATGGACTTGGCCAGTGTCAGGTCAGACTCCCACATACAAGGAGGAGTGAAATGAATATCCAGTATGGAGCATTAATTCTGGCCTTTGGGCACAGAGAAGCCCTGCAGTGCATCTGTGCAATGTGGCCGTGTGCCTGGACACGTGTGATGAAGGGCAGTGGGGGCACAGACCAACGCATGGTGCCCAGGGTGGCCCAGAGTGGCAGACGGTGATAAAGCTGGACTTGGGAAGTGAGAGGAAGGGAGGGGGAGCGGCCCACATGCAGTGGCCTGAGCTCAGCGTGGCCAGGGAAGGGGCGAGGGGGAGGGCTGAGGCGGGAAGACCACCCGGGAGCAAAAGGCTCTGTCCTGAGAGTCCCTCGCAAGGAGTTCATTCTGCCTGACGCAGCGAAATCGAGCAAGATTTTAACCTGTTGCCATCCCCCGGGGGGTGGGCGTGCCCACGTTCATCCGTGTTTATCTGTCTAGTGAGCAAATTTTAGTTCCAAGTAGGGGCGGAAAGTCCTCCAATCTGCATAGCGGGATTTCCGTGAGACCAGCGCGCAGTCTGTTGGTGATCTCTCACTAGATGGGGGATTACACATGTGCTGCTGCTCATGCACTCGCCCGTTTCCTCGTTCAGGACGTGTGTGTCGACCCTTACCGTGGGCCAGGCACGGAGTGAAGACTCACGTGTGGGATAAACATGTTTCTTGGTCTCGAGGGTCCTACAGGCTTAGGTTTATGTTCATGGATGAAGTGTTCTCATCTATTTACTTTCTAAACTGAATATCCGTGTTAGTTTCCCAATTTCTGCAAAAGTTTGCTTTCTTAAGGTGAGTAAACACGTAGTAATTCAAAGAGAGACAGTACACCCCTTAATAACTTTCATCCCAGCCCGGGGAAAGTAAAAGGCATTCATCCAAGAAGCAAATTTTTGAGTAAATGATGTGTAAAACTTATAAATGGAGCTATTCAAATATTTGACTGATACAAATATATTTTTGAAACAAATCATAAAATTCTATGTCTACATTCTTATGTGACACAAAAGACGTGATTGGAGCACTGTTAATGAGACATATGATCTCGATTTTTCAGATTCATAAAGTTCATAAAAATATTAAATTTGTAAAAGACCTCATAAATCACTCAGTTTCATACCCTCATTTTTCAGAGTAAATTCTAGCTTCAATTAATTCTAAAAGAAAAAAAAAATGTCAGTTCTGCTCAGCACAAGAGAGCCATAAAATGAATTTTAATCACTCTACCTACTGTCTCCTTCTTTGGACAAGTTTTACTACTTTAGGGCCACAAAAATATGTTTATTCCCATAATATACAAATATATAATATGGGCATAAACACACCATCTCCCTCTTTGTGATACACTGTGTTGGTATGTAATATCATAGCAGACAAGGCAGAGAGCGAGCTGTCCCTAAGTTTATTGGGCAAATTCTGAGACATCCAGAGAAAAAAGAAAATTGATGATGGGCAGTCACTCAGTCTGACATCCAGGTGCAAAGGTTAACAACGTCTGGGAAGGAGGTGATGCAGGAGAGTGGTCCCCCTGGGGGACCTTCCACCCCGATGTGGTCTGTGGGGAGTGACGGCTGCCGCTGATCCGGCCCCCCAGCTCCCACAGGCAGAACTCAGGCTGACAGTCCAGTGAGGGCCCGAGCAGGCTCTGTGCTCTGTCTATAAGGATCTCAGAAGGAGAAATGTTAGGATTTCATTTTCCTGCAATATGTTCACAAATTCTTTAAAAATCTCAAATGTCAAATTAAGACATTGTAATAGAAAATTACTTCTATTCTAATATCATAGTCTAAGTTCTTAGTTCCTATGAAAACTATTGATAAAAAGCCCCTAACTGATTAAAATTCACTAACTCATCTCATGGAACCTCCTTTTTATGTTGAGATCAGTCGTTTCTTATACATGCTTTAGTCAATAGCAACTTTTGTTATCATGAGGTCCCATGACAGATTCTAAGTTCAGGTGGTCTTGAACTCAAGAACCCTTAGTCCTTGTGTTAAAAAACAAACAATGACACGGAAGCTCAGAGCAAGATGGAACCTTCCAGATCATCCATTCCAAGCAGCAACCCCAGGCCGTACCCCCATTCACAGGAATGCATGGCAGTTCACTCTGCATCACAAGGCAGTTTATTCTGTGTGTAACGTGGCATTTTTAGAAGGGTTTCCTAATAAGACCTGAGGCTCACTTTCCTGTTTCTCCAGGTTGTTCGTTTGACAAATATGAATGAATTTTTCTTAGGCTAATTAATCCTAAAGCAGAGCATCGTATCATACGTAAGTGAAGCCTCTGCCCACAAGGATGAGTGTGGGCTAACGATGGAATGAAAAGTTGTATTCAAAAAATGACAAGGGAATCATTGTTGGACTTGAAGGAGGAGTTGCTTCTTCGCCCGGCTCTGCCTCTGCTCTTGGCTCGTGGGGTCACTGGGACTTCTCTGCCTCAGGCGGCCTCTCAGCTGCTCAGGTAGTTACTCTGCCTCCTCCCACTGCTTCCTCACGTCTTCTCAGGGCTAATTGACGCAGTTCTCGTGGTCTCTGCTCATGTGAGGTGTCCAGAAGCTCCATCATCGTGAACTGATGGGAGATTGTGGCAGCCTTTCCATCCTGTTATAAGGATGAAGTACCAGATAGAGAAACAGGCTAAAATAAATAGATTAGACAGATGACAGATAGATGATAGTTAGATAGAGAGGTAGATAGATGATAGCTGATAGATACGTAGACAGATGATAGATGCTAAATAGATAGATACGTGACAGCTAGCTAGATGATAGATAGAGGGTAGATAGATGATAGATAGAGATAGATAACTAATCAACAATATTTTCTTATTCATGAGTTGGAAAATTGTTTAAAGAGGTGATTCGCAACCTCACTGCATGTTAGAATCGCCTGACACCCCGCGGAGATTTCAACAGATACCTTTGGTTCAGCACCACTTTGTCCTAATTCCAAGAACTCTAAATTGGTAGAGTTAAAGTCATAGAAATGGGAAACAAAACTCCTAATAAAGTCATGGATGTGGTTTACAGAAGAGGTGTTTGTGTTGTCTAGACTCCTGTTCATGCACTCATTTCTTCCACTAGGACCTGGTCAAGCCCAGTCTTGTATAAGCCCCTCCCCCAGAGTAATGGAGATGCACATGTCCAACTTCTGTGGCTTTGTGGGACAGGTGACACTCAAGCCTTGATGGACAGTTATCACCTGGGATACATTAACCCTCTGTTCTGCCCGGTGGACCGTAGTGGGTGCTGGGTCTCCAGGAGTTAACATCACTTCAGATCTAGCGTCTGGAAGCTTTGCTTTCACAATGTGCGGTCACTGGTACCGCCAGTCCTTTTATGGAAGCTAAGAGGATGATTTGCAGCAAAAATGCTTGGCAGTCTTTCCTCAAGTGGACTTAGACTGTCTTTTGTTTAAGGGGCTGTGGGTCTATAAATTGACTCAGCTCCCAAAATTGATTGAGTCTCTGTGGCCCAATTGTGATAACAAGTCAAGTCTGTTCACCTGGTCTAGAGATTTATCACTTTACAGTTCAGTTGCAATTGTATCATGTTCCCCATCTGTCAATCCTGAGGGCTCCATGGTCAGTTAGTCATGGCCAAATCTCTCTGCACTCAAACCTTCAGCCTTCCTGCCCATCAGGGGAACCAAACCACCTTGTCTGGTGGTGAAGTGCTGCCACCTGGGCTCTGCCCCTCGAGGATCCCTTCATCACTCTGGGATTCAGGGAACCAATTTCAAAGGAAGCATAGCATTTACCAGCCCTCCTCAGCAGGAAGCTGCCACAGCACAGCCTTCACAGGATGCAGTGCTCCCCGCACCTGGGCTCTTCGCAATCTGTTGGTGAAGGGAGTGTCCACTGCACCGCTCCTGGAGGAGTGGGTGTGGGTTCAGCAGGGGAGTGGTTGAGCAAGGCACTGTATCTCTATGACCCTTTGCCTTGCTCTTGAACATCATATCAAGGAAATTCTGGCATCTCAACCTCGCTGAATTTGGCCTCTGTGAGTTCTGATTTCAGTCAACCAACAATGGAAACCATTAGAGTCCATCTCAACTGCTTGAACTAACAGACTGAATCCAGATCTCTAGTCAGTGCACCCAAATCAATACATTTTGCCCAATCCAGCAGAAGATTTAACACCCTCAGGACACATTCCCAGGCACACTCAAAGGTTTCTGCCATTATAATTTGACAAAATATTGCA